TTTGAATTGTGGTGCTGGACGAGGCTCTTGAGAGTCCCCTGGACTGCAAGGAGAACAAACATGTCCATTCTAAAGGAAATCAACCCCGAGTACTCACTGGAAGGACAGATCCTGAAGCTGAGGCTCCAGTACTTTGGCCATCTCATGAGAAGAGAAGACTCCTTGGAAGACCCTGATGTTGGGAAATTGTGAAGGCAAGAGGAGAAGGGGACAACAGAGGATGAGATGGTTGGACAGTGTCNAGTAGGACACAACTGAACGACTAAACGAAACGCCTCTCCCAATAGTTCTGTCTCATAGAGCATTTGTGCTAGAATTTTGACAACAAACACCTTGAGAACAGGATTTCAGCTGCCCCCCATGCCTTAAAAATCTTTTTAATTGCCCTATTGATCTCACACTCAATACGAGGGTAGCATTTAAATGCTGTCTCCAGAAGAGTTTCTCACAAAATTGAAGGCACAAATATTTAAATAAGTGTACCTGCTCAATAGCATGCCCATTCAGTGACCAGTTATACTTAGGCGCCTTCTTCCCAAAGACCATAATCTTTGTTTTGGTATAGTTGATTGTTCGCCATTCCTCTTTACATGCCTTTATTTCTCATTATTTTATTGTGGTCATATAATATGTGCCCCTATTGATCTTTCAGCATCGCTGTTCTAGCCTTATATTCCCTCCAAAACCTTGGCAAGGTTTGGAAATCCAGGCAATGTTGAAGAAGTTTTAGACAAGGAAAGGAAAGGAAAGAACATTTTAAATAGAGCTGACTGTTTCCACCTGAAAGCATTCCTCATGTGAAGAACCCAGGCTGATAGGAAAGCTTACTTCACTGTCCGAATAAGTGAAGCCTCCAATGAGCAGCCTTTTCTGTATAGTACGCGATCTATTGGCCAAAATGATTGGCCTCCAACTAGCATTTCTTGTGACTAATTTGAGCATTTTTTTAAATCCAAAGTTGAGGCCATCATCTTGCACCCTTTTTGGAAACAGTGGATCAAGCTGAAACATTCAGCCTTGTCTGTTGAGAATTAATCAGTTTCAACCTGTGATGTCCGTTGAGGTGGACAAGGTCCTTGATCGCTGCCAGGCCACCACATCCTCCCTTGACCCTTGCCCGGCCTGACTAATCAATGCTACCAGGCCAGGGATACCTGAATGGGCTACTGAAATAATAAATGGGTCTCTTCTTGAGGGGAAGGTCTTGCCCTTAAGGAAACGCTCATTAGGCCCATTAGGAAGAAACTGAGCTTGGCAGCGGAAAAAATTGGCAAAGATAGGCCTGTTGCCAATGTTTCTTTCCTTAGCAAGGTAGTTGAAAGGGTGGTGGCCGATCAGCTTCAGGCCCTCTTGGATGAAACCAATGCCCTGGATCAACCACCACCACAAAGTTTTGGTTTGTTTTGTTTGTTTGTTTTCTTTTGCTTTGCTTTGTTTTCTTAAAGGTCCAGTGAAGGTAATACAATTACCTAGATTTCTATCATTTCAAGGACGATATGGGCCATTGCTGATCTTCCCCAGGGATGCATAGCTGTTGCTGTCACCACACTGTCTCTCCTTTCCCCCCCCCCAAGTGTGCTGAATTCAATCCAGCACATCTGCCAAGAGGCAGCAGCAGCAGCTACATTTGCTGACAGGCGTGGCACAGAGGGAGGTGTGTCTTCCCTCCACACCCAACCTCCCTCCAACTTCAAGGCCACCTCTCCGTTCCAAGGGTTCAAGGCTGAGGCCGACCCCA